CATCATATATATATATATATATATATATATATACATATATATGGATTTTTTATTTATTTATTTACTTTTTTTTTTTTTACCAGAAGGGGGACTGCCTGTCAGTTTAGGCAGTCCCCCGCAGGCAGCACTATGGACGCCTATTGCAGCCATGTGACCACTCTTTTAGAGCGTTCACATGACCCGCAGGGTCCTAATTTGCCGGGGGAGGACTGTCTGGGCTGTCAGACAGTCCCCCCAGACAGAGAGAAACACAGATCACCAGTGGGGGAGTGGCGGCCATCAGGTTAGTACGTAGGAATACCACGGACGTACTAGGTACGTCTGAGGACCTAAAGGATGGGTCGGGAAGGGGTTAATCTACTTTACTAATTACTTTTACCATTTCGACTATTCTTTTTTTTTTGTGATAGTTTTTCTAATTTATTGTGTTGTGCTCTATATTGGTTTTATTTTATGTGGAAATTTGTATATCCAGCTTTGGTGGGCATTGTAATTATGAAAATTATAATTTTTTTCCCCAAGGTTATTGAAGAACCCCTTCTTTTTAATCCTTAGATATAATCACATGGTCTCGCCATAGACAGACATCTCATTGAGAAAGAGCAAACGGAAACCGAAGGTTAAATGACGTCCTTAAAGGGACACTCCAGGAACCCAGACCACTTCTGCCTATTGGAGTGGCCTGAGTGCCAACTCCCATCACCCTTAACCCTACAAGTGTAATTATTGCAGTTTTACAAACTGCAATAATTACCTTGAAGGGTTAAGTCCTCCTCTAGTGGCTGTCTATCAGACAGCCATTAGAGGGATTTCCGGCTTCTTAGAACACAAAATGTGTTTTAAATGACGCTGGACGTCCTCACACTATGCATTAGGATCTCCAGCATCACCGGAATCCCCATAGGAAAGCACTGAATAATTGAATAATGCTTTCCTATGGGGGTTTTAACCCCTTCAGCAACATGGGATTGGGGGAGGGAGGGAGGCACTGCAGGATTCTGCAGTGCCAGGAAACAAATGTTATTTTAATGTAATCTTATTATTATTGTGATTTAATTGATTAAGTGATGGATATTGTTATGGCTGTGTATGTGATTTTGTTCATTTACCACTATTAGGGTTATTCACTAAAGCAGGAATTCAAGGTGAATTTGAAATTTAAGGACAAAATAGACAAACTGTTAAAATTCTTTAAGTTAGCGATGTTTTTAGTTTGGCTTCTCCGGTCTTAAATTTGAAATTCACTTTAAATTCTTACTTTAGTAAATAGCCCTGTATTACTTGAAAAAGGCCACAACTGGCCATAACTTTGTCACTTTTTGCTTGATGTTCCTATTAAACTCCACACATTCTAAGATCTCCTGAGCGCCTGGTCTTTCTATTTCCTTTGGCAGAGTGCAGTCCCTCTCTTGATTTTACAGTATTAAATATTTTAATACCAGGTCTGTGGCCATTCCTTGGTCCTGTATCAGTAAGGAACGGGCAGCGGTATTAGAGCTAAGTTCCATCTGATGTGTTGCATTTCAACTGGAATTACAAGGATTTGTCAGGGATTTTGATAGTTTAATGTAAATGCAACTCGCAGTTATTTTCCATGGAGTTTTCTGTGCCCTTGGTGTTACACCAGCTCATGGAATACCTGTTGGCTTTCCCTGGTGTAAGGAATCTAGTGGGTCCTGTTTCCCATCATAATGTCACACCTTTCTTCATGGTGTATATAATATAAGAGTAAGAGTGTTACAGAGTGCCTATGAGGATAACACGTTGAACCATTTATTATTTATGGGGCGAGAAGATAACTTTGTTTTAAGGTCAAGGTATCTTTAATATCTTACCCGCCCCACATACATAGTATATAATTAAAAAGTGCACTAATTAACATTCCACACATACACCCATGCCACACACACAGCTTGGACAATATAGATCTTCGGAAACAGGAAGATAAATCATGCAGCTATTTGACAGTCAGGTTGATACAATATCAAAGCTCATGATCTCAGAAGATGGCAAGTTTTTACAACTGAGAAATGCGCACAACCACTTCAGCAAATGTAATTATATTTGGTGCTTATGGTGACATTGTAAGGCTCAAAACATCCAGCTCATGCCAAATGGAGGATTTATTCACAAACTCGTGGTTTCTGAAATTCAGGAAAAAGTTAACAACTCACAAAAAAGTCACTTGTTTATAAAATAGTTCCCCATTAAATACAAATGTCAGAATGTTTGCATCTAAGTTGCAAATAGTTAGAGGACTAAAACAGTGCACTCTTTAATCGGCTGTGTTACTCAGACCGATGTCTTGCTAGCTCAAGCTTTTAAAATCCCTCAGCACCAGATATAATTATTAATGCATTTGTCTGTTCATTTTTTTTTTTTACATAAAACAGTTGTCCACTAAGGCAGCCTTTTTCCTAGTGGTGTGCCGGGGCTGAGAGATTTGGCAGTTAATTTGATACCCTTGCTTAGCTTTTGGCTACATTAATCCATCCACGAGGGACTGCTGTTAAAATTAGCATTATTCAGCTACAAGCATACACCACAACTGCAGCTATGATTGCTGTGGAATTGAGAAAAAACAGCAGTATTTGAGTGAATGCTGCCAAGTATGTCTTAAAGGAGAAAACCTTAATTTGATCTCAAATGCTCTGTTTAAATAGAATTTAAAGCTACGTTTGAATCAGTTATGCTGTGTACCACTACCTTATCATGCTATGCAAGCGGTCCCTACAATATGTATGCATCGAGTGTATCAAAGTATAAATTATCGGAGATTTTGGCAACAAGACTTGGCCACTAGGAGTACTCTCAGTCTAACGTTGCCATCCAAACTTGGACAGATTTGTACAGACCATAAGGAAGTAAATATTATACATTATGATGGCAGCAGAGAGACAGCAGGTTTTTGTTTTTCTTCTTCCAATCATCTCTGAAAATATCTCTTGTGGAAACCTCCCTGCAGACAACAATGCACTATAATATTTTGGACCGGTCAGTGTTGTAGTATAGGCCTTTATGTATTCATATTGGTTACTGTTTTAATTTCATGCTATACTGTACACCACTCAACTCACAAGAAATGCCACCCCCCTTCAGTTATTTCTTTGTGCGTGGAAAACTGGTTTTATATCATTGAATGAGCTTCAACTATCATGTTCCATTTCAAGAACTTTACACAGTTAAATATTAATTTTGATAACACGTACGGAATAGAACTAAATAAAACAATATGCCATCAAATAGTAGAAGAAAAAATGTAAAACTGTTATGGGTAACTATTAAAAAACTTAAAACTATTATGAGTGGAGGTGTGCCCAGGCACATAGTAATATGATGAAAGATTGTCATTGATTTCCCCTGTTTAGGTCTCCTTAAGCACTTTTGCATGTATTTGGATTAGCTTTGTATTTTTTTTGAAGATACATCATAATTATGTACTCAATCTGTATACACCTAGTTATCACTAATTACATTTTTTTTGTATTAAAATTAATATTTTTTTAGACAAATTTCAGATGTTAACATTGTCTTGGTCGATACCCTAATAGAATGTGTTGTGCATGCCTGTGGTTCCCATGTTTAAAAAAAAATAAACTAGAGTACAAATTAAGATTTGGCTAGTTCTGATCTGTTGCTTTGATCAGCGATTTCTTTAGGGATTCAGGGCTTATTTATTATTCAAGAGTAAATTGAGCTTGGGAAATTTAGGCTCAGATACCAGAATTGGAAATAAAAAAACAACTCTGATGCTCAAGTGCTTTTTTTTTTTCAATGGGTCTATTTTAAACAAAAATGTCAGTTATGAACGTACTCTTTAATGAATAGATTGACATATGTTCTATATGATTGTTTATCAAGAACTTTAGTTATACAGTAGTTGGGGTTGGTGGGGGGCAAAATGAATCTTGGAATTGTTTGTGAAATTACCTCTGGAGTTCTGCCGAGAAATAGATTTGTTACTCATTAAACCAGGATATGAATCACAGTGAATTTCACAGCCGATACACTTAACATCTGTATACTAGAGAGAAAGATAAAAGAAATACTCAAACGTTAAAAATAAATATGTTTATTTTAGTACTAATCTCTATGTCTGAGACATTGGCAATATATTCTTCGACCTGTGGTTATATTTGCGTTATGATTGCTTATGCCTTTTATTTTTTGTTTTTCTTCCATTGAATATGCCTTTCATCGAATATACATATATATATATGAAAGCTTGGCACTCTCCTTCCATTTAGAAAAAAAACATATAAATAGCCCTAGTGCCACCCGGGTCCATATATATAAAAATAATGAGAATCCAGGGTGCACTCGCAGGACTTTCAAACAGTGATTTAATTATGAAATTAAATTACATCCGTAACATTGATCAATGTTTTGACATTGGCAGGTCTTTATCAGTCTTCATCATCATTAAATCACCGTTTGAAAGTCCTGCAAGTGCACCCTGGATTCTCAATATATATATTTTCATTGATATTTTTTTTTATTTTATTTTTTTATAATTCTTTATTTTTCTCAGTGCAGAGTCAGTTACATAAGACGATATTTGTCAATGACACAGCATGTATTGAACACATAAATGGCAAGATGTGCTGCACTGTCCTTTTTCTTGTGTAGTCATGAAAATAACATGAATGAGTAACAGGCATGTACAGTAATAGCAAATAGTTAAATAGCTAGACATGTGAGTTAAATCATGAAACATTCAATAGGCAAGTTATAGGCTAGTGTAATGGAGGGGCTTCATTTGTTATATTTCTGTATGTCTTGCTGAGACGTTACTCGAAAAAGTAAAAGTAAACCACTGATAAGACTAGTCATTATAGTCTAGCATTGCAGTGTGTTGCTGATTTGTGGAGTGCAACATTACTATCAATAACAATAACGGTTTCCTAATAGGTAAGTGAAGGGTGTAATGTGTAGTGTGCAATGTGGCAACCGCCTGTGCAGGTGACTGCGTTGTGCAGGCGTTAGGTCTAATACCAGGTTCAGCCTATTCCTCTGAGTGTCAAGGGCAGAGTGCCGCCTGGTAAGTCTCTTTCCATGTCTGCATACTTGGTCTGCCATTGTGTCCCTCTCCAGGTGTTCATACGAGCTGCTCTCGGGATGTGAGGAGTCTCTGTGATGAGTGTCTTCGCCCTCTGGGGGCGGCATGAAAGCCCGGGATTTGGTCGTTTTGTGCCGTGGCTCCCTATCCGGGAGCGCAGCAGAGGTTGCGATCTTCCCGACCCTCGCATCCAGGTGCCGTTGCTTCGGCGCTTGTGTGCCCGCTGCTTGCCTCTCCATGCTGCTGCTGCATGGGGATTGCGCTGGGATGCGCCTGCAGACCTGATCCGAAGTATCACTGCTTGTGCCATGTGAGTAGCAGCAAGGGCCCGGTCGTTGAGTTTCTTCCAGAATTCTGCGCATATTCTGTCAAATGCTTGCAGGAGCGGGTCCACAGTGGCGGGTGGCTGTGAGCAGGCTTCTGTTGCTGCAGGCCCTGGTGGTGCCGCCATTTTGGGTAGCAGGCTGCCTTCTTTTAGAGCTGTAGTTTCTCTGTGTTGTGCAGGGTAAGCTCCAAGATTACACCAGTGGGGACCGAGATATCCCCCACCGGTCCAAAGGGGAAACAGAGCGTCAGGGTCGGTTCTGTGGACGTCGGCATGTCCAGGCCAGGAGATCGGCCGTTTCTTCTCTCCGTGGAGTATCCCAGGCGTCTACGCCGCAAAAGCTTTTCGGGCCACGAGGCTATGTGGCGGAGCCCCAAACTTGGTCAGGAGGTTACCCCAGCATTCAGGGTCAGGTATGTACTTGTTTGAGTGTTCGCTGTAGGTATGATCCCCCCTCTAAGTAGTGAAATCGAAGCTTTATGTGAGGAGCTCTCACCATGTGCATCTAACCACCATGAAGGCCAGGCCCCGCCCCTTCATTTATATTTTTAAGTCTTCTTTTTGAAATTTAAAAGTGAAAAGTTATGTGAAGAACACCAACTCCATTTAAATATATTTAGCTTTTCTTGTCTTATTAAACTCTAACCCCCACCCTCAGGGCCCACCCCCCTTTAGCCACTTACCTTTATCCAGCAACGGGCTCGCTCGGCGCTGGGGAACTCTCCTACCTCTGCCAATGTCAGCTCCGAATGCGCATGCGCAGCAAGAGCCGTGCGCGCATTCAAACCGCCCATAGTAAAGCATTACTCAATGCTCTCCTATGGACGTCCAGCGTCTTCTCACTGTGATTTTCACAGTGAGAATCGTGGATGGGCCTCTAGCGGCTGTCAGTGAGACAGCCACTAGAGGCTGGATTAACCCTCAGTGAAACATAGCAGTTTCTCTGAAACTGCTGTTTTCAGCTGCAGGGATAACCCTAGATGGACCTGGCACCCAGACCACTTCAATGAGCTGAAGTGGTCTGTGTGACTATAGTGGTCCTTTAATAGAGAAAAGGTAACCTTACTGACAACTTTAATACATTGTCCTAAAGAAATAAAATGAAAGATACAGTGTAACATTGTTATAAAAGGAATCTAACTGCAGTGGAGACTTGTTCATAGCTGGATTTGTGGCAGCACCCCACCACTTTTTATGTGGGGGAAAAAATGTATTTACAACAGTTTAGAAACACTAAAATAATTTTTTTTCTGGGCGAGAGGGGTCAGCTAAAATAATTGGAAAAAAGTAGATTAACATATTCCCATCATTGCCCTTGTGTGTGCCAAAATAAAAAAAAAACTAAAACAATCTGTGCCTCATAAATTCTGAGGTTTTAATTACGTCTGTCCTACTGTTTGGAAAAGCTTTATTGAGAACAACTAGGCATGTAAAACAAATGGGGCAGATTACAAATCTGCCCCATTTGTGCAGGTTGTGCACATGTTTAGTCTTTCTCAAGAAGGAATTCCAGTGGACTTTCATTAAGTTGCCATTTGCGCAGCAGAGCCAGCTGCCCATGAGTGAAAGCATGCTATTGGACTCGCTATTCAGAAGCCATCAATGGATCACAACACCAGGGTATGGGGAGAAACGTAAAGCAGCACAAAGAGAGCCCATCAACAACAGCTCCTGTCCCCTGCCAAAATCAAGTGTATATTATATATTTTTCTCTCCCACAACAGCCTCAGTGTCTGTCTGATTAAGCAAGGGGATTAATTAAAATATATAATTATAAATAAAGCCAGGAAAACCCAGAGAGGACAAGGGAAGAGAGGAAACATTGTCGATGTTTTCGGCAGCACTGACCTGCCTGTGATTAATAGTTTAATAACTTACTTATTCACATGACATTGTGTAGGCTCAGCTGCCCAGTGCTCACCATCTGGGGGAAAAAGTCTGGCACCCCACCATCTTAAAATGTCACCACTATGGATAATCATTAGAGACCATTGACTCTGGCAGAATCTTTCTCTGCAGCAACAGTAGTAAATTTGGAGAAATATAGCAATCATAGTGTGGATGAACATGTACTGACGGCGAGGGTTTGGAGAACTTAAACTCACTGTGTCTTAATCTTAACCGAATTCAACTTACTGAAGGCTCTTCTGAGTGATAATAAATCATATCACCTGCGGGGAGTTTTATTTTAGTGATATTTCTACTAGCAGCATAGGATTTAAGGTGCTCCTGCTACTAAAATATTGGGAGACGCTGCTTATAGAAGCTCGAACTAGCCAACCAATCCTGTGTAAATGGGGACACTTTGGAGATATGGGTTGAATACTTTCATTGTAACTTCAATAAGCATACTTTGTATTAATTCTACACGACTACTCAATGCTACTGTGGTTTCAGACCTAGACCCTCCAGCTTGTCATTGACCTATATTTCCAAAATACTGGTAATTGAGAAATGTAGCTGTACATCCCTGGTGTAAAAAAACAAGTTGTTTCTTGTTTGGGGGGCTTACCCTTTAATTAAATCATTAGATTTTACAGTATAAGACTGTTGATCAAGTGCCTTTCCAAGAAATGAGATATCTGGGATATTGCTATGTCGTGTAGACAGCATTTTTTGTCATCAAATTTATATTTGGTTGTTGCGAAAAACATTTTTTTTCTTCATTAAAAAATGTACATGTTTTTCACAGTTCACCGAGGAATTAGATGGATTAGACTGCACGAACCCTGTTTGTCTTGTTGCTATTGACAGAAAAATAATGCATCAGCAACAGATTAAGTATTTTATTTGGATTAACACAAATATATTTTTAGAAAAGCATTTAAGAAATACACTCCCTTCTGAGATCAAGCAGAACTTGTATATTATTTTAATAACAAATATAATCTGAAAACCGAAACACAGCCAGAGCTACATATTTATAGGGGAATATTAAAGCAATGATTATTTAAATAAAGTAAGAAGTGCTAGCTCCTAAAGCTAAATATACTGTAATATTGTCTAGAATTACATTTATACATTTCTCTAGGAAAAAACAGTCCAAGAATACTGTGAAACTTCATAATCATTTAAAATTTCTAAGACCCTCTAGGCCTGGGTGGTGAAATGGGTGATTAATTAGTTATAGACAACTATTGTTCGCTTTATTTAGCAATTTAACGCTTTATTTAGCTATTTGTTGATACCCGGTAGTAGAATATGCAAAATATTTAAATAGAAAATCTTACTCAATTCCGTTTACAACCTACATCATAATAGAGGCTTTAATCATATATAGAAAAAATAGTTATGAGAAAATAGAGGAATCTTTGCAATATGTTTATCTTTTAGGACTACAATCCTGCCTAGCCGTTAATATGGTGAAGAGACCAAATGCGGAGCTCTTGTTGGCTTTTTGCTATAAGTGGTGAGAAATTCTTATATAAAGTCTGAGACAGATCTGTGTGTATATGGGTGTCTAAATGAGAGATTGTGGCATCACAGCAGGGGGCAGGAAAAGCATATTTAGAGAAATTTGATAGCCTGAGTAAGCCTAATGCCTAAGAATTTGGAGTAATTTATGCTAAGGTTGAATATCTGCATGAACTCATCAAGCTTAGTCATAATATGTGTAAGGGAAAAGAGAGGCTGGGGAATGACAAAGAGGAGACAAGCAGCATGCATTGCTATTTTTTCTTTACTATTTCCCACTTCTATTGTCTTAATTTCTGCATTAGCGCAAATGGCATTTCGGAAAGGCTCATTACTCAATATAAACAAAATGGGGGATATGGGACAACCTCGCCATGTCCTGTTATGGATTAGCTGGGTTGAGAAAAGCAATCCTTTTACTACCTATCTGGCTGACAAAAGAATGTTCAAGCCAACACTCAGTGACCTGCGTGTGGCAGATATGATTGACCAAACGCCTTGTCCACATCAGTGATCTGAAATATAGAGGGGCAGGAGGACCTTTCAGTGACATATATCAGGTTTAGTACTTTGGGAGTCTTATCTATGGCTTCTCTACCACCAACAAATCCCAAGTGGTCTGGATATACCGGATGAGGGACATGAGGGTATTAAACTTGTGGCAATGATCTTAACAAACAATTTTAAATCGGTGTTCAACAGGGAGATCGGTTGGTGGTTTGAACAAAGAACAGGGTATTTACACTGTTTGTGGATAACTACTATAGGTGCACCTAAGATGTAAAGTGTATTGTCCACAATAAGTGAAAATGGGTTTAATTCGTGCTAAAAATTCCATAGATAAAATTAAAAAAGTTATAACAAAGATGTCTTCATGTTCCAAGAATAAAATCATGCTTTAGCCAAAAAAACCTGCATCATTTGAGCACAAAAACAAAATATGCAGATACCACAGGTCTATGACAAATGGTCTGTCAGTAATGAACGATGAAATGGCTATTTAAATAGCATGCAGTAACACGTATATCATAAGACACAGAAATGGTGGTTATCTATAAAAGCTTTATATTTGTAAGCAACCATCCCACAGTCATTTAAAAACTAAGACAAAATAAACAGTAGTACTGACTGAAATTGAGAGTAATCAATGTCATGCACTAAAATGAGAATTCTGATTATTAGTCTAGCATAAAACATTAAACATAGAGCTGAGAAGAGAATTGTGAAATACTGTGAGTTATTTACTGCCTCTCAACTTGAATTATAACATTTGAGCAAAAAGCTAAAGCTGATTTAAAAAAAAAAAGTGAAAATAAAAAAAGTGAAAATTGGGCGCTCGGATTGCTTCACATCACAGCTAATAAGAGCTATGTGGATATCCTAACGGGTATAGAGGCATACATGATAGTGGCTATAAAAATTAAGTCAATATTCAAACCATTAGGGATGAATGTGTTTACATTAAAAATCCATTACATTTCTTTTTGGCCTATCTTTTTTTATAAAATTCAATTTTTAATGTTTCTGATACTCTCTTCTATTCTTGTATGTACCTGTCTTGTTGTGAGACC